CTCGTCGTCGTCCTGCTCGATACGACGATTGACTCTGACTTACCTTCCCACGTCTTTGACTTCTCAGTACTCCATCCACATCAGTTTTGCTACTTCAGCTCGTCGACGCTGCAGCTCTTCCTCGACTGCATTCCGGAATTCTCATCGTGAACGTCATCGGCAGCTCCATGGACTTCATCACGATGAGCTCTGCCTGCTTCAAACGTCGCCACTCTCTTACCCCTCTACCCTGTACAGTACCCTGCTTGTGTCGCATGATGGTCTCCCTTTAGCCGGGTTCCTCTGCGTTGGGTTTTCCCTTGGTATACGCATAGGCATCGGGACCGTAGCATTGCCTTGGTTTCCCATCTCACGGATCTAGCTCCGACTTCCCTCACTTCAGGAGTCATTTGCATGATTCCCTTACCCATCATCTTTCTACCCTTCGCCGACCCTCACGCCCTAGTTAGGCAGCCCCGCATGCTTCATCTAGGTGCGCCCTGTATACCAGGCTCCCTTATTCCCATGGTCGACCCTCCATAGCGGTCACCCCTTAGTCAAGCATTACCCGCCCTGATGGTCTATCTGTTAGGGTCATTGGTCCTGTTCGCTCTGAGTTCCCTACCCTCATTGAACCTGATGACATGTGTCTCCCTGTTATCTATGTGTGGATGCCCTTAGGAATTTCGACCCCTAGGCTGCATTCGCCACCCTCAGAGACCATCCCACCCTTTGGTTTGCGACACACTTCTCATGTGACATATGGTTGTCTTGTTGATTGCTTTGATGCTCTCAGACTGAGGCTACTGCCTCCGACATTTATAGGATTTAGCTGTTCTGCTTTTGCTGTTCTTAGGACTTATTCACTAGTCAGTTGTTACCAGACTGAGGCTAGTGCCTCCAACATTCTAGAATCTAGTTGTCACTACTTTCTGCTTTCCTAGGACATGTATGCTAGTTAGTTGCTTTTGCTTTCCTAGGACATGTATGTTAGTTAGTTGCTTCTACTTTCACTTAGGCAATTAGCTGTGACATTGCTGTTTTGTGACATTTTATATACTAGGTTGCATCGCATGGACTCAGCATGGAGCTTGCTCCGCATCCTAGACTACTCAGGTTTTCTTTTCTTTGGTAGAGTTCCGCTTCTTGGCGGAAGCATGTTTGTATCTAGGCGATCCATCACAGGCCGAGGATCGTGTAGCGGACCTCGGGTTGGCCTGTGAGACCAGCCCCTTGGCCTGTTCTCACAGGACTGTGTTGTATTCGGGGTAGGCCAGTCCAGGTCGGTACCTCTGTCGGTACCAGCCAGTCTAGTCCAGTCCCGTCAGTCCGCTGGGGTATACCCCAGCCATTGTCTGTTTTCAGCCTCATTCTTCACTTGCACATTTTGGAGTACGTGCGTTGGAGTCTTGCGTGGGGAGCTGCATTGTGCCATCTCGCTTCTCCCCTTCTTCCTCCATCTCCATCTCTGTCACTAGCGGAGCACCACACCTGGTGGGTCCGCTACAGAGCTGTTGTGTACACTTAAACACTACCGTCTTCATCCGAATAGAAAGCCCGGTCATTATAGCTGTATTTGGCACAACTTGCACCCCAGACATGGCGATACTTGTTGGGCGTTCACTTTGGGTGAAGACGGTAGTGCCTCGGTCTAAAGACATTCTAAGCTCACTTTGGTACCTGGGTCTAAAGAATGTTATTCATATGGATCAAACCTTAAACCACCAGTACCTCGCTCAGCTATCGGCCGCGGGCCTTCCCGTATACGCGCCGCAGCCTCAGGGAGGTCGGCCAAGGAAAGGCCCGGTCGCTCCTTCTTGGCCGGAGCCCACCAAGTACGGGATGTCACTCACACAATAAGGGGGAAAAAAAAAATTATAAACACAAGAAAAAAAACGAAATAAAAGAAGATACCTTCGTTGCTTCTTGGCGCGCCGTAGGGGAGAGAGAGAGAGAGAGAGAGAGAGAGAGAGAGAGAGAGAGAGAGAGAGAGAGAGAGAGAGAGAGNGGGGGGGGGGGGGGGGGGGATTGGAGGATGGCGCAGGTCCGGAAGTTGGCGCATCACACACCCTCATTATGCTTGTACCGGAGCAGAAGTCTGGCTTTCATACATGCATTATCAGAGTGTGTTGTGCTCGGGGGAAGACGGTAACCCCTTAACAAGTACCGCATGGCATACGGTAGCCCGCAAACATAGCACGGACATCCGTCGAGCGTAGCCTGACCAGAGTATTTTCGTTCGAAAAAACAAAAACACCATAGCTCCCTACTGCCAGACTAGCGTAGCACGATTTTTATTTTTTTTTTGAAATAAAGCTCCGATCTATTCGTTAGGAGCAGCACGTGCTGGGAACCGGGCCAGCATCCCTTATATTAGAAATACAACGCTGGATAATGGTTCATGATAATTTGAGGATGATTCCATAATATTATGAATTCCGGCTGATTCAGGAAGATTCAGGATGAATTAAAAGACTATGGAACTCGTTAGACACTCCTCGGGCACGTAAATCCCCGGAGGAAATCGCCGCTCCACCTATCCTCGTAGACGATCCCCGAAAACCAAATGTGAAAATATTTCCTCGGGCTGTCCTCGGAGCGTCCTTGGGCCACAGGCATTTGGCGGCGATCCCCAAGGTACCTCACGAGTTCCCTCGGAGGTCGAGTATCCGCATAAATCGGGACGGCAGCGGCACCCTTCGACGAGGAGAAGTTTTTGGAGGCTGGTCCAATGCAGTTCCTACCCAGCACTGCACGGACATGTTCGGCCGCCAATGTTCGCCTTCGAGGGAACTCACGACAACGGTAACCGTTGGGGGACGGCCGGCCTTCGCGAACGTTTGTTGGCGTTCGCAGTCCGTCGCGCTGCCCGGCGGCAAACGGAAAACGGTCCACCGGTCTTCAATTTCAAATATTTTAGCCGACAATCATTCCCGCCCCCCACCGCAGTCTGCAATGTAAATCGGCAGAGGGCGTTTTTTTGTCGGATGCAGTCGTCGGCTATTTGCTGCCGTCTACTTTGCCGTTTGCTGGAGATGCGTTGTCGTCATCTGTTTGGTGCTCGTCCCCACGTGTCGTTCATGGCCGACATCTTTCGATGGCTGCCGCTGCTTGTCCCGATCGTCATTTTGCTTCTCCTTGTCGTCGTATTCCACGTTCGCATCCTAGGTCGGGTGTCTGGTCGCACACGCAAGAGACGATCAGCGAAGAAGCACATCAGCATCGACAGACAACACGCGAATATGAAGACGTTGTCGGAACAACACGCAAACCACCGCCCCAACCACGACAGTACTCACTCTACAAGGGCGCACGACCCGTTAGCCTACGCGCACCTCCCACCGCACGAGCAACCTCTACCCGACTCATCGGACGAGGAGGTGGATGAAGCTCGGTCACGGACAGTCTCGCTGGGTAGCGGGTCCACTCAGGACTGGGAGGGCAGCCAATCGTTCCGTCGGTGTGGTAGCACGTACAGGCAGTCGTACACCGAACTCCTGGAGGAAGGCATCCGCGAAGACGACGTTGATGGCGCCCTTAATTTGTCCTTCAGGCTAGGTAGCGGGGGCTCATCGGCCGCCACACGGACAGTCCCCGTGAACGCTCACCCGGACGACGACAAAGTGCATGTGACATTGGTCGGCCGAACTGCGAAGGTTGCGTCCGTGGGATGGGAGGCGTCGAATAACAGGAGGGAGCGGCCGAGAGTGCAGTCCTCGACGACATTTGTAGCACGCGGTGGCGTCGATCGTCCACAGTGGATGAGGTCCCCGTCTCCATTGTCGGGAGGTTGGGGCGGCGACCGACATGCATCTAAGTGCGGGCCTACGGAGGAAGACTTCGCAAGCGGGGGTGCTGAACGAGATGGGAGCCCGTGTGGAAGGAACACCAGCAGGAGATGCGTCGATAGCAAGAGGAATCGATAACCCAGGGGGTGCAGCGATTGCGAGTGGGGGAGCGGGCATTGGAGGCAGACGGGCCAGTCGGGGGAGGCGACGAGTACGACAATGGAGACGAAGGTGAGTGCGAAGCACAGAACTACGACAGAAGCGACGCGTTCCCATTGCGGACGGCTAGCATGGGCGGTCGAGGCAGCAAGAGCAGGGCTTTTGCATCGACAGGTCGGTGGGGAAAGAAGGCGGTAGCAGGAGGTGGCGAGGCTGAAGTCGACGGGGAGGCGGAGGGGGGGCGAAACTTCTGGTCGGTGGAGCATATGGTCGCACTCATCAGGGCAAAGCGAGACCAGGATGTGCAACTGTAAGCGTCAGGCTACACATTAGCTCGTATGGGGGGGAGGGAATGAAAGTGGGCGGACATTCGCGAGAGGTTATTGAAGGTCGGCGTCGACAGGCCGGTAGAGAAATGCGGGAAGAAGTGGGAGAATTTGATGCAACAGTTCAAGAAGGTGCACTTGTTCCAGGGCGAGTCTGGGAAGGAGGACTTCTTTCGGTTGTTGGGAAAGTAGAGGTTGACGAGGAGGTTCAATTTCACCATGGATCGGGCTGTCTACGATGAGATCAAGGGATCGACCGCCAAGAGTCACACAATACACCCGCAGAATGTCGCTGACACAGGCGGAGCAGGAGGTGTGCAACGACGAAGACGACAACTCAACATGCACGTCGGCCGCCACCCTGAAACTGAATCTGTCGGTGATGGAGATGCGAGTGGTGATGGCAACGACGGAGTCGATAAGTCGACGAGGGGCTGTTCACAGACCACGGGCAGCCCCGGCCGATTTGGGAAGAGGAAGAACATGCGGCAACAGACTTTCGAAGCCCTCACCGAGTGTATGGAGAAGCATGAGACGCTGATGGCGTTGACCTTGGAGAGCGCTAACAAGAGGCAGTGCTCCATCCAAATTCGGCAGTGCGAAGCTTTGGAAGCAGAGGTGGAGGTGCAGAAGAAACAATATGACTCCCTCGAACAAACCGTCGCCGCCCCCGTTGCCAGCTCTTCCAACACCTCTGATCGCCTCGAGGCATTGGCGATTGACGTTAGATCCGTCAAGGACGGCGTGCAGTTACAGCAAACCGCAACGCAATAGTTGGAGCAGCAGATCTATACTGCCGCCAACCACTCGAGCTCGGAACCGCGTGAGACAACTCCAAAGTTCGATGGGCAGGAGATCTTCTGCGACTCGATGAAGATCGACCCGACTCCATGGTTCTGCAAGTTCGAGCTCGCGTTGCAGCTACACTACGTCAGCGAGCACAAGCATCACGCATACGTATACTCCTGCTCGGGGGGCCGTGTGCCAAGCATGGGTGGACAATCTCTTGCCCAGGTATGGAGTGGTGGCTGCCGACTTGCATACCAAGATCAGTTGGGGGGATCTAAAGGCGACGTGGCATAAGCGGTTCCAAGTAGAGCCATTGGAGATCAACTTGAAGGCGATGGATAAGCTGATGGTCTTCGAACAAGGCACGCTGCCGAGTGTTGATTGGATTGCCGAGTAGCAACATTTGACATCCGTCCCAGATATCCAAATGGGTTTCAAAGCCATCAAACACTACTTCATCTTGAGTTCGTGTCCGGCGTTGGGCAATGCCTTGACTCACGTCGAGGACACCCTGATGACATCGGCACAACCATTTTACAAGGCCGCATAGATTATTGTCACGAACAAGGAGGCTAAGAATCTCCAGCGTTCGTCTGCGCCAGACCTGAGCAGAGATCAGCATCGACCGAAGGTGGCCGTGATCGGGGCGGCAACGCCAAATGACCAAACTAGTGAGGCCGTGTCCGCCAATGAAGGGGACAAACTCGCAGCCGCCCGAGAGAGCGGCCGCCCCGACAGAGGCCGAGGACGCGGCAAGGCGAAGACAAACATAGCATCTAGCCCCGGGCCCGGCGCATCAGCTCCAGCCCCATGTTCCCATTACGGTCTCTCCGAGCAAGCATACAAGGCACACACGAGATTCCGCTATTGTCTATGGTGTAACGATGATCTACACGACACAATGACCTGCCAGTCGAAAGGCAAGGGCAAATCAGGAAACTGAGCACCGCTGAGAGTGACTCGATGACACTCTCGACGCCTTCGGAACCGGTCACTTTGCGGGTGACCGCCCGTCGTTCCGAGGCACATGCGAAAGTCGATATTCCTCCTTTTCTTTATACTTTTGAGGACTATGCTGCCCGGCTCGTTCCTACGCTGGGTACTCATGCTCAAGCACAAGATGTGTGTGCGACATCTTCTCCGTCCAACAACGACAACTTATCGTCTTCAAGTGGTTCCTTACGGGATTCGGCGCGCGAGTTCAACATAGAGGTATTGGACCCGCTTACATCCGAGGATTTCGCATGGCTTCCTCTCCCGACCACGGGCCGCTTGTCGGGACCGCAATGGGTAGCATGATGCACTCATCTTCACACATACTTATCCTTCTATACACCACCAAGTTCGCCGACGGATGACGAACTTGAAGTCGCGGTGGGGGACATCCTTGCGTATGTTACCAAGGTAGCCCGCGAGTTTCGCAAGCAGCGGTACGATGACAACAACGCACCACTCCTCTATGTCCACATCCAAGTTGGGCAAGCGTCCTTCAGCGCTTTGCAAGATAGCGCCGCGTCTCGCAATTTTATGAGTCGGGCCTTTATGCAAAAGGTTGGCCTTGGCACACAAGTTCGAAGGAAGGCACACCCGACAGTGATCAAGTTGGTAGACGGAAGGATGCAGCAACTTTTCGACCGCTACATCGAGGCCGTACCGGTGTATTTCACACCTCATAAATGTGAACCGGTGACATTTGACATTTTGGAAACGGACTTCAACATTATTTTGGGAATGCCTTGGCTTGCAAGTGTGGATCACACGGTCAACTTCCACCGGTGGACTCTTACCGTTGACGACGCCTTCGGCGCCAAAGTGTCATGTACTATTCCTCTTCCGCACCCTTCGATTCCGTGCCAAGTGGTGACGACCAAATCATTCCGGGCTACTAATGCTTACGAACAGTACGACGAAATCGGCCTATGCTTCCTACGGACCGTCGCGGTAGCCGACTCTTCACCCACGGACTTGTCTTCGGACCCCCGTGTGGTGCGGTTGCTTGACGAGTTCGCTGATATCTTCGAGTCACCTATCGGTGTGGTGCTGGATCGGCCGATGTCTCACTAGATCGTTCTCGAGGCCGGTGTCGTCATCTAGATGTGTATAAGAGACAGCTCTCTCTCTCTCTCTCTCTCTCTCTCTCTCTCTCTCTCTCTCTCTCTCTCTCTCTCTCTCTCTCTTCGAGAAAAGAAACGGGAATGCATGTTCCTGTGAAAGCGGGAAGATGCATTGAATTTCCCGTTTTGTTTTTCGAAAGCGGGAAGATGAACCATTCGTTTTTCTTATTTCTTTGCTTTTTTTTGTTTTTTTTTGCCCGTTTTTTCCGTTGTGTACGTTGCACGTTCGGGATGGCTGCGCGCGGTAGTCCGAGCTTCGGCACGGATCGGCGTACGGGTCAGCCGAGGCTCGGACTCGATAGCTGGGCCAGGTACTGGTGGTGTAAACCGCAAGTAGACGGCCCCAGCCTTGCAGTTGCTTTTTGTCGCCACAAGCAGAACTCGGAGGCGCCGCACGGCTAGGCCCGCCGTTGAAAAAAAAAAATTGGCAGCCTCCAAAGTGGTGTGGGTTTCATGCTGACACCTGCAGCCCGATATGTAGTGTACTGGTGCTTTTTCTCGCCACAAGCAAAACTCGAAGGCGCCGCACGGCCAGGCCCGCTGTTCGAAAAAAAAATCGGCAGCCTCCGAAGTGGTGTGGGTTTCGTGATGCCGATTCTTTTTTTCAACGGCGTGTATACCACCTCGTAATCCCCTTTCACTGCCTTACGGCGGTCCCTTGGGGCGTGATCGGCCCATACTGGCCACGAACCCTGTGCTCAGAGTGTCAGCAAGACAGTGCTTACCGCACAGCGGGATTTGTTCACCGAACCCGGACTGAGGCAGACCAGCGATCTCACAGCCTCCGACTGAGACCAGCCTCGTCGGATTCTGAAGTCTGCCACGAGCGGCGCCAGCGGCTGATCGCCGAGTGTGACACACACAGCGTCTTGATGGTCCATCAGATACGGGACCGACCGCGACTATGACACTCACACCGGAGGTAGCCCAGTCTCCCAAAGTGACAAAGTCCAATATAACTCGGGATTACCAGCTTGCTCAACTACCCCTGAGCTTGCCACCGGATATCTCAGTTCTGACCTGGGACTCCACTACAATTTCCAAAAATCCTTGGCACACCCCTTTTCGCACTTCCGGGCCCCCATCCCACTCCGAACAGGAAGTCGCGCTGGGCGTGAGGTTAGGGCGTCAAAGTACCATGATTGGTGAGGTCGGATGTAGCAGTAAGGATGGTCCCTCGTGATCAATCTAAGACATAGCACACACTTGGCCCAAACATAGCACGGAGTCACGGACATTGTGCAAACATAGCACATGTGTAGAATAGAGCAGAACCCTAGAACGATATAGTCTGGGCCCCTTACAAGTACCAGGTGCCTCCCGACTTTCCCCAAACAGAAGGCACCCTCATTATGGCTGCACCGGGCCGGAAATATGGTTTGGGTACATTCACTGTCGATCTAACACATAGCACGCACTAGGCCCAAACATAGCACGAACATTGGGCCAATATAGCACTGGTCTAGAACAGAGCACAACCCTACCTTCTTCCCCCAAATACAACATACGGTCATTATAGTTGTACTTGAATACAACGTACGGTCGTTATAGTTGTATTTAGACTGAAAGATACCCCAAGTAGCTATAATTACCGTACGTTGTAATCGTGGGAGGAAGGTAGTACGGTATGGTCAGGGCCCCTAACAAGTACTAGGTGCCCTACCATTTTTCCCCGAACACAACGCACCTGTGACGCTCAACCTCATGCCCTGCGCTGCTTCCCGATCGAAGTGTTCTGGTTCGTAGAAGGGCCCCGGGAGGATAGCGAAGATGGGGTGTGCCAAGGATTTTTCAAAAAGTTGAGTGTGGGACACAGGTAGAACTGAAATCCCCCGTGTTGGTCCGACTCTAATAAGAAGGAGGTCCGTTGCCGTGCGGGTTTAAGGGAGAGAAAGGCGCGCTCGGGGCTCGCGGCTATGGGAAATTCAATCCAAAAAATATCGCGGAACTTCCCAGCGAGTTGTCACTCTTTGTTTCGCGTGAAAAGGGGCGGGTACACGCACGTGGTATCCCGTTTACGGATGAGGTTTCATCGGCGCTCGTTACATAACTCTGAATCTGACGTGGAGAGCTTCAATTGAGTAACCCTCTCCTTATGCTCATCCTCGCCACGTGTGGAGTAATGGAAACCCTTGGCTCGGT